AAAAGGGCAAGGCAGGTGACTGCCGTCGGTCGAGTTGGATTTTCAGGGGCAGTACGGCAATTGATAGGGGCACCGACGTCAATTGCCGTCGGTGCCGTCGGTTAATTCGAGCCCTGACCGGCGGGGCTAGGTGGTGGCAGGTTGGGAGGAGAGGGGAGGAGGGGAACGTACCTGAGGGTCTGCTAGCCACCGTCACGGCAACTACCGGCGGGGCTAGGTGGTGACGCGTTCTGTTCCCTCACCAGGTGTGCCTGACTCTCACCGCGAAACGCATGGCTTCAAAAAACTGCCTCGTTAAGAACCTGGAGGCTGTCGAGACGCTGGGCTCCACGTCGACCATCTGCTCGGACAAGACCGGCACGCTGACGCAGAACCGCATGACCGTCGCTCACATGTGGTATGACAACGCCATCTGGGAAGCCGACACCACTGAGGACCAATCTGGTGCGTGCACGAGCGCGTCGTAGACACGCGTATCCCTCCCGTAAATCACTTTCCCACAATCATGTTTGCTGGGAGATAAAACCGGAGCGTGAATAATTTAGGTCGTCCCTGAGATGTGGAGTGAAAAGGCCTTTAAAGCTATTTTTCACCATACTAGTGAGGAAGGGTGGGAATAGAGTTTGAGCTGAAACATGGGGAAACTGTGCAAACTTTCATTGTCGGATGTGAAACGGCACTTGCGTCTTGAAATTTCCATCCTGGGACAAAACATTGATGTTACTTTAACTTCTGTCACAAAAACCATCTATCGAGCAAACAATCTTGCATCCGTGCTAACGTAGAAAGTATTATTGCTGCTAAACATATACGTGCATTAACGTAGATACGCTTGCGTGCACACAACGCGCACAAGCACACGCTTCATCATAAACGATGAAAAAATTCACATAATCTTGCCCAATTTTTCGTCCATTGAAGTAGATAAATGGGACATTGAACTAACGATGTCTTTATTTTGTCACTTTGTAGGCGAAACGTTTGAGAAAAGTGCTTCAGGATGGAAGGCATTAGCCCAAGTTGCAACTCTTTGCAATAGGGCAGAATTTAAGGAGGGACAAGACGATCTGCCCATACTAAGACGGTAACATTCCTAACGATTACATGACCAATATAAGTTTAAGCATTTATGTGACCAATTTAATCGATTGCATGACCTAAATAAGTTTAATCGATTGCATGAATAACTTAAGTTTAAGCGATTGCATGATCAATGCGATTGCCTGACCAATATTGCTCTTATAGTAAAGTCACCTTCCGTGACGTTTGTAACCTTGTAGTTTCGAAAACCTCTGCAACACTAATTCAAAACTAATGTTGGGTAGCTCACTATGCTATGCTACCAGGCGATGCATGCCAAGCTGATTCTTGTCGAGTATCAATATGGCCGGTCGATCGTTTTATCGATCGATTTCAAATTCACGAGAACTGCTCTGAATGAGCATGGAGGAAATTAATTGTATTTACGCATGTAAAGCGTCTTAACTGCACTCGTTACCTGTTAGACTGCGCAGTATGTGTCGAAACCCGGCGTTACATGATCTGATTTGCGTCCGCCCGTAGTGAGTGTACCGGCGATGCGTCCGAATCAGCTCTGCTGAAATGTGTTGAGCTGTCCATCGGTGGCGTCTTGGAGACACGCAAGAGGAACCCAAAGGTTGAGGAGATCCCGTTCAACTCGACAAACAAGTACCAGGTCCGTGTCCGTCTTTCAGTTTATGTTCCTTAGTGTGCTATAATTCTATGTAAATATTCCTACCTTTGCTAGCTAGCCTTGTGTTCTCACACACAAATGCTGTTAACGATCAACGTGTGCATTCTTGCATCTTTTAAAACAAACAATCGAGCGGTTTAGCATTGGATAATTTGTGCTGTAAGGTCATTTTAGAAACATAGTTAATAGAGTTAATCTCCCGTCTTGTATGAAAAGTGTCCTTTATAGACCAGTTTTGTTCTGTTGCGGTGATTTCACCTTACAGATGCCACTTCAGAGAAATGCTGAAAGTGTACTTTCTAGACAGGCGTCCATGCATGTAGAGGTGGTCCCATAGGCGTGCGTCACACGCGGTTTCTCGCGTCCTGTCAACGCTCCCCTCGGCGGACGAACCCCCCCCATGTCACACGTAGGGTCAACTCGTTCCCCGGCGTACAGTCAGTCCCCCGTGTCACGTGTCCTGTCAGCGCTCCCCCCAGCGTACAGTCAGTCCCCCGTGTCACGTGCCACGCCCGGCATTGCAGGTGTCCATTCATAAGAGCGATGACCCGAACGACAAGCGGCAGATGGTGATGATGAAGGGTGCGCCCGAGCGCATCTTCGACCGCTGCTCGACAATCTTCGTTGATGGACAGGACCTGCTGATCGATGCCGAGTGGAAGAACGCGTTTGAGGATGCCTACCTTGAGCTGGGAGGGCTCGGCGAGCGTGTGCTAGGTGCGTGCGTGCGTGCGTGCAGTGATGTGGTTAGCAGAGATGCCAACCACTACGATTTATCCGTATTTTATATACGAATTTCTGTTCCTTTGCACCACTACGACCAGTTTATATCAAACTACGAATTTCACTGTGATTGGAAAAAAAAAATTATTTTTGGTCCGTCAGTCTATAATACGCAGGGGAAAAAATACACGGGGGCGGCAGGCGATTTCGCCCCCGAAATGCCAAAAAGAGCCCCCGAAAACATGATATCGGGGACGACCCCAAAAGAAAAAGTCGCTCTGGAAATCGATTGTCCAGGTCGGTCCCGCGCCTTGCCGCTCTCGCTCGGCGTTGCTGCGCTGCGATGCCTAGGCCTCTGCCGCTAGCGGCAGCTGGTTCCACGGCGCGGTAGAATTCATGGTACGGTGTGACTGTCAAGTGTTTACCATTTAAGCATGCATGTGTGTACTGTACTGTATTGCATTCAATCACGCGCGCGCCGCCACCCGCGCGAATATACGTGTGTGCCTGTGCGCGTGCTTGCGTGTGTGCCTGCGCGCGTGCGTGCGTGCCGGTGTGCCTGCGGGCGTGCTTGCGTGTGTGCCTGCGCGCGTGCGTGCGTGCGTGCGTGCCTGTGTGTGCCGGTGTGCCTGCGGGCATGCTTGCGTGCGTGTGTGCCTGCGCGCGTGCATGTGTGCGCGTGCGTGCCTGCGCGTGTGCTTGCGCGTGTGCCTGCGCGCGTGCGTGCGTGCCTGTGCGCAGGTGTGCCTGCGGGTGTGCCTACGTAGACCCGTAGAACCAAGGATTATAGAACGGTAATCCATGGAAAATCCTAATGAAATTGACACGTATATTTTTGAATTTTTTCCTGCCGACACACTCGTGTGTCATTCCTGATTGTAGCTTTTTTGTCAATTCCCTGAAAGAGTTTTGCTGTCGCTCTCTCATAGTCCAGCAATGCCAACCCTCTACATTTTAGTAGTGATTAGTACCACGCTGAAACAATCGTGCCCCCCCTCCCCCCGTACTTCAATCAATGCCGCCCCTGCCAGCAGGCACGTACGCAGCATCGATGGATGTGCACAGCAATACACACGTGCCTCGCGGGCCGCTTTCTCAAACCCCCTGAGCTTCCAGGGCCCTTACGCGGGCCCAGGACCCCAGCTGCAAGAGACTTCGCGTATAAACAATCGATCCTCCTCGCTCGTACAGTCAGACGCTCCACTATTTGCCATGGTTCGCACAGTCCTTGAAAAGTCCTTGAATTTGAGGGGAGTCCTTGAAAAGTACTTGAATTTGAGGGGAGTCCTTGAAAAGTACTTGAATTTAGTAAATGTTGATTTTGTGCTTGAAATGCTTGAATTTCATGAAAATGTCCTTGAATTTCATGAAAATGTCCTTGAATTTTTAGAAAGAATCGTCGCCTGTAATAAAAAGAAATTTTGTACCATCAATAATGTGCAAACCTCAATAAAAATTTCGTTAAATGAGCTTAAAAAGCTATAGACACGATAGACAGTTAAATGATGATCACAAATTACAGTAAGTCAGTAAAATCAGTCAGTAAATCAAGGTATGTTGTAGAAGTGACAGTGTTTAGAAGAGTTTATTAATGTGATCCAGGTTAGTTTTAGAGGTGACATGCAGTGATTAAGAATGGGGTTATTAAATTAATCCTGGTATGTTTTGTTCTGTGTATGAATTCTGATAAAATGTCCTTGAATTTCCGATAAAATGTCCTTGAAAAGTCCTTGGAAAAAATTTCAGTCCTCCTGTATGAACCATGTTTACGCTAGCCGTAATACAATGTTTCATGTACGTGGCAGCGTATGTACTACAATTTAGAACGTGTGTGTGTGTGTGTAAAATTAATAATCCCTCCCCCCGAACCTCCCCCCCTCGAACTACTAATTTGATGGCCAGAAACTACAGATTGCTTCAAATATATGTTGGCATCTCTGGGTTAGTGTGACGAGTGGAAGAACACGTTTGAGGATGCCTACCTTGAGCTGGGAGGGCTCGGCGAGCGTGTGCTAGGTGCGTGCGTGCGTGCGTGCAGTGATGTGGTTAGTGTGACGAGTGGAAGAACGCATTTGAGGATGCATACCTTGAGCTGGGAAGGCTCGGCGAGTGTGTGCTAGGTGTGTGCCGGTAGTTTCACTTCAATACTCCGTTGTGATTTGTGGTTCGAGTTCAGTAGAAAGTATGAAATGCTTGCAGGCAACAGTACGCACAAAATTATGAACAGTGAAGGGCTCCTTTTTAAACTTCCCTAGCATTCTCGAATGTGCCGAAAACGTTTTGCAAGGGCGATTTGCACGAATATTACCTAGGCATATTTTGATTCTTTTGGGACCCCTTACAATAAAACAGACAGATGTCTAGCTTCCACACAGTTGTTCCGCACAAATATAATTTAACACACGCTGCCACCGGTCACGTCGGCACTGTGCGTCGAAAGAAGGTTCCGATAAGTTTACGACAATCGCGTCGTGGAGGACTTAACGAGGGGCGATGTTAATTAATTAATTGTGACTCGTCGTCAGGTTTCTGCGACTACTACCTGCCGCTGGACAAGTACCCCGAGGGATTCCCGTTTGACTGCGAAAACCCCAACTTCCCGCTGGAGAACCTGCGTTTCGTCGGGCTCATGTCGATGATCGACCCGCCGCGGGCCGCCGTGCCGGACGCCGTCGTCAAGTGTCGCAGTGCTGGTACGTCCGCCCCTGCACAACTGACCTTTCACGTTTCACCGTCGACCTCTGGCCTTTCTAACTCGAGGGTAGTTGCCGCGATCGAGAGTAGTTGTGGATCGAGCGCGGTTGCTGCGATTGGGCGCGGTTGCCACGATCGAGCTTGGTTGCCGCGATCGGGCGTGGTTGCCGCAATCAGGCGTGGTTGCCGCGATCGGGCTTGGCGTGGTTGCCGCAATCAGGCGTGGTTGCTGCGATCGGGCGTGGTTGCCGCGATCGGGCTTGGCGTGGTTGCTGCGATCGGGCTTGGCGTGGTTGCTGCGACTCCTGCGGGCGTGTTGCGCGATCGGGGCCGACGGGGGCGGCGGTGGTGTGCCGCTGATCGGGGTTGGTGCCGCGATCGGGATGTGCGTGTGACGTGCCGCATCAGGGTGTGTTGCTGCGAATCCGGGCGTGGGTTGCCGGTGATCGGGCTCTGGCGTTCGGTGCTGCGATCGGGCTGTGGGTTGCTGCGATCTGGGGCTTGCCGCGATGGGCGTGTTGCCGCGATCGGGCGTGGTTGCCGCAGATCGGCTGGTCGGGGTTGCGCGCGAATCGGGCGTGAGGTTGCCAGTGATCGGGCTGTGTGGTTGCTGCGATCGGGGCGCGTGGTGGCGCGATCGGCGTGTGTGTTGGCCGCGATCGGTTGGCGTTGGTGCTTGCGATCGGCGTGTGCTTGCGATCGGGTCGGTTGCCGCGTCGGCGGTTCTTTGGCGTGGTTGCGCGATCGGCGGGACGCGTGGTGGTTGCGCGATCGGGCGTGGCATGGTTGCGCCATCGCGAGCATGGTGTGCCGCAAACAAACATAGGGTTAATGATGCGATAGTGATTGGTTTTTTTGTTTGTTTTTTAATTGCAACGCGCTGTCTTTGTTGTCGATTGATCGTTTAGTGGGCTATTCTCTGGTGACCGACTGTATTGCTTTATGCTGATTGTATCAAACAAATTTTTATTTGTTAGGCACGTGTGTAATACTGTGTTGTAGTTTATCAATGAGAATGGTTTTTGCCTGCTAACGTGTTGTTAAAGTATGAAATTTATTGCAGTAGTAGATGAGAGGCAGATGCAAAGTACAGTGCCTAGACCATGTTTCCTGGTTGTTGTTCAGGTACTACCAAGAGCTGACTCGCATTGGAAATGCGTCGCGTCCGCCAAGGTTCTAGTGATGTCAGAAAACTACTCGTGTGTGCAGTGTTTGTGTTCTGTGTTTCAAAGTTAATTTAGAAAAGTTTCGGGAAAATACGTGCATGTGGTGTGGTGCAATAAACCTGTGCACGCCAATGAAAAAAATTGGTGATAGAACTTTGATGGTTAGAAAGAGGGTCAAATTCATTTGCTTCGGGTAATTATGCGTCTTACTGAGGTATTTCCTTTTTATCAGCAGTGATGACAGTGAATCTCGAGTGAATTTTTGAATCAGAGAAGATTGCTCTTGAACAAACTTGTCAGCTCTTCGCCATGAATTGCATGTGAACTTACTTCTTTGGAGTTTGCTGCTCAAATTTTCAATGGCTTCTGTCTATATTGTTGTTTAGTCACTCGTACCTGTGAGTTACAGATGTGTGCAAGCACTCTGAAGTGATTCTAATAATCAGCACAGTCACAGAACTTGTACTCACTTTGTTTCACCGTACTATTTGTGCAGTTCAACGTCATTATTGTTTTCTCACGCAGATATGCTATTATTCTTTTGACATTCAATCAGACAATCTCTTCCTTCGTGATTGCTAATTTTTTGGTAACTCTGGCTGTTGTTTTGAAAATTCGACGAGCAATAATGAGCACATTGTCATCTTCTGATAGTAAGCCCGTCGTGGTCACGTGCTAGGATCAGTTCGGTCCACAATTTGCGGTGACGTCCACTCGTTTGAAAGTTGTCACCGTCTTCGGCAGGTATCAGGTGATCATCGGTGACCGCGCGACCACCGATCACGGCCAAGGCGATCGCTAGAGCGTCGGCATCATCTCCGAGGGCAACGAGACGCGTAGAGGACATCGCATGCGACTTGGAGTCCGTGTCGACGACGTCAATCCCAGGTGCGTCTCCGGGATCGATCCGGCGGCGGGGATCGCAGCGATTGTTACGAGTTTTCTCTTATTGCTTCCTTTTTTCGTACGGATATGTGCTTGTAGCCTGTGTTTGTGTTGTGCGTTGCGTGCATGCGTGCGTGCGTGGACGGTTGTGTGTGTGTTTTGTGTGTGTTGTGTGTTGTGTGTGTGTGTGTGTGATGTGTGTGACGTTGTGTGTGTTGTGTGTTGCGCGACATGTGCTTGTAGCTGTGTTTGTGTCTGTGCGTGCGTCAGCGCGTGCGTGCGTGCTGTGTGTGCAGACGTGCTTGTAGCTGTGTTTGTGTGTGAGGACGTGCTTATATCTGTGTTTTGTGTGTGTGCGTGCTTGCGTGTAGGCTGTGATTGTGTGCATGCAAGTGTGTGAGCGTACGTGTATCTGTGTGTCTTCTCCAACCACCTGCTCGTCTATGATGGTATCCTTGCAAACTACCACCGTGTCTTTGAATGTCAGCGCTGTGTTTTACTGCCCTACGTCTGTGCGCGTAATGCCAACCTCTCGCTAACCCGCTCCCGTCTTTCACACGGACACGAACACGCATGTCATGTCTGTTTACTGCCTCAGGTCTGCGCGCGTGATGCCCACCTCTCACTATCCAACGCTCCCGTCTTTCACAGGGACGCAAACCCGGTGCATCGTGTGTTTACTGTTGTGCGTGCGATGCTAACCTCTCGTTAACATCTCGTATATTAATAACGCCCCCTCCCCCTGTCTCTCGCAGGGATCGCGAACGCCGGTGCGTCGTGCACGCGCTGTCAATCTGAAGGACATGACACCGGCGCAGATCGACGACATCCTCAACAGCCACTCCGAGATCGTGTTCGCGCCGCACCTCGCCCGCAGCAGAAGCTCTCATCGTCGAGGGCTGCCAGCGGCAGGGCGCCATCGTCGCTGTGACGGGCGACGGCTGCGTCAACGGACTCGCCCGCGCTGAAGAAGGCCGACATCGGCGTCGCGATGGGCATACTCCGGCAGCGACTGTCAGCAAGCAGGCCGCCGACATGATCCTGCTCGACGACAACTTTGCGTCGATCGTCACCGGCGTCGAGGAGGGCCGCCTCATCTTCGACACCTGAAGAAGTCGATCGCGTACACGCTGACGAGCAACATATCCCGAGATCTCGCGTTCCTGCTCTTCATTGTGCTCGACATCCCGCTGCCGCTCGGCGCGATCACGATCCTGTGCATCGACCCGGCACCGACCTCGTGCCGGCGATCTCGCTCGCGTACGAGGAGGCCGAGAGCGACATCATGAAGCGGAAGCCGCGAGACCCGCTGCACGACAAGCTGGTGCGTCACGCTGTAATTTCCGTCTGCGGCGAATCGGCGCGGTTCACGATGGCGAGATAGCAATTACGTTGCGTCGCGCGACAAACCTTATGGTTTGCTTTACAGCCCGCGATGAGTTCAATTTCGCTATGAGAGTAATTAAGTTTACCGCACGTAATTGTTACATTATTGTTAACAGTAACCTTATGTGTCGTGTCATGCTGTTTACAATGAAGTTATGTAGATTAGGTTACTACTCAGCGACATTATTGTGAGTTACGTTATGCGTTCGATAATTTAGGTTATTGCGCATGAGAGGTTACTGGTTAAGCTACTGCTCACAAGAAGCTCAGAAAAAACGCACGAGGCGCTCTCCAATAATACTATCTATTCTGGATTGAATACACACGGCTGTGTGTGAACTGCATTGATTGTTTGTTGCTGTATTGTTCGTTTGTTATAGTTGTTGTTTTTGTAGCTGTTGCTACAGTTGCTGTTTGTTGCTGTATTGTTCGTTGTTATAGTTGTTGTTTGTAGCTGTTGCTACAGTTGCTGTTTGTTGCTGTATTGTTCGTTGTTATAGTTGTTGTTTGTAGCTGTTGCTACAGTTGATGTTTGTTGCTGTATTGTTCGTTGTTATAGTTGTTGTTTGTAGCTGTTGCTACAGTTGCTGTTTGTTGATGTCGTTATAGGTGAACGCCGCGTCTGATTCTCGTTGGCATACGGACAGATCGGCATGATGCAGGCTTTAGCTGGTTTCTTTGTCTACTTCGTCATCATGGGCTCAAACGGATTCAGGCTCGACACGCTGCTGGGCATACGCGCCGAGTGGACTCCCGGGCCGTTAACAACCTCGCGCTGACTCCTACGGCCAGGAATGGTGTGCGTGTCTCTCTCTCTCTCTCCTCAGCGCGCGCGCGCGCACGCGGTTAATGCTCCGTAGCACTGCCCGAGCGTGTGCTGCGGGCTGACGATGCTCTAACCGCAATGTTGGTTCTTGAATGACGCTGAAGATTTGCTTCGAATGACGATCGTAATGTCGTGTACTCGTTTATGGCGATAACAATGGAGCCAACAATTAACACTGTTCCCCTGCGGGATCATCGAGTCAACATCCGTGGCTAGATTATTGGTTTTTGTTACTCTGATTTCCAGACAGATGGCAGGCATACCTACCTAAGAAATTAAACGGGACAGTCTTTATATTACCCAAGTCTTACATGAGCTAACGGAAATACAATTTGCTTACTGTTGATTCGAACGTGCAACCATTGGAGTTTTTTTGAGGCTTCAAGGTAAATTTCGGGGCTAAAAAGCTCATCATCAACAAAGGTTTGTTTAAACCGTTTTTTCTAACGGTATATAATATAATAACTGTGTAGTATGTAATAAATTTTCGAGGTATTTTGCATGTAGAAAAACAAAACAAGGTTCATACCCCACACATTGTGTAAGCGTTGTCACATTTCTTACCGTGAAAATCATAGTATACTGTTCAAACGATATCATAACAAACTCCGCGAAAATCCACCGGTGTGGTGGCATTTGAGACGAAAATGCACGAAATGTTCGTTTTGCCCTGTTTTTTCATAACAATATGTTATTATGAAAGAGAACGATTTTCCATACTATCTGAACGTGTAAGGGTGAGATAACGACTCATGGCAGCAGTAAATGATGTCAGTTTGGTGTTTAGCTTATCCTGCAAAAGGAAATGGTCATGTGAATCAATAAGTCGAGATACGCGGTAAAAACTGCGAAAACCCGGCCAGCGCAGGGGCGGTAGCCGGGTTTAGTGTTGCATTGTTAAACACCTGGCAGCGTTGAACGTGTTAATAATCTGCTTCCATATTGATAACAATTAACCAACCATTGTAACTATATTCCACTGATAATTAAATCAACCATTAAGTAAATTATTCCACATGATAACAATTAATCATCACTATAATTTAGTAATATATTCCACATGATGACAATTAACCGGCCATTAGTAATATATTCTACATGATAACAATTAACCGGCCAATTAGTAATATATTCCAACATGGATAGACAATTAAACCGGCGCATTAGTATATATATTCCACACATGATAACAATTTAACCGGCCATTAGTAATATATCCACATTGATAACAATTAAACCCGCATTAGTAATATATTCCAGCATGTAACAATTAACGCAGGCATTAGTAATATATTGGCACAATGATAACAATTAACTGGCCATTAGTAATATATTCCACAATGATAACAATTTAACTGGGCAATAATAATGTCTACATGATATATTAGGGCTATATTACATGATAACAATTTACGGCCATTAGTAACTACATTGATAACATTAACGGCATTCATGTAATATATCACTTAATTAACCGGCATTAGTAATATATTCCACATGATAACAATTAACCGGCCGTGAACAAGACATTCTTCTTGTATTGTAAGTTATGATAGCAATTCTTGTATTGTAAAGTAATTATAGCAATTCACCAACCATTAGCAAAGCAATTCCACACAGTGATAACAATTAACCAACAATTAGCAACCAATTCCATACATTGATAACAATTCACCAACATTGATATGCAATTCCATACAGTGATAACAATTAACCAACCATTATATAGCAATACGAGTGTCGATTGACAGTTTGATCTTACGTGATTAGAGCCGCGGTATACGAGCCGCGTGTGTGCTTGCTCAGAACGACTCCAACCGTAAGATATCCTGGAGTACACGTGCCAGCACAGCGTTCTTCGTCTGCCATCGTGTCGTGGCAGTGGGCTGAATCTGATCATCTGTAAGAACTCGCCGGCAACATGTGTCCCTGCAAAGCAGGGCATGAAGTGAGTAGTTGCGCGCAAGAGTTTAACTAGTGGGAGGATTGAAGTGAGTAATGTGCGGGAAGAAGGTTCAACTAGTGGGAGCATGAAGTGAGTAGTGTGGCGGAAGAGTTAACTTAGTGGGAGCATGAAGTGAGGTAGTGTGCTGGAGAGTTAACTAGTGGTGAGCAATGAAGTGACGTAGTGTCGGAAGAGTTAACTAGTGCGGAGCTTGAATGAGTGTGCGGAGTTTACTGTGGGCTCGCAGAGATGTGGGAAGAGTTAACTAGTGGCGAGCTTTGAAGTGAGTAGTGTGCGAAAAGTTACGTGAGCATGGTGAGTAGAAGAAGAGTTAATCGTAGTGAGGGAGCCTTGATCAGTGAGTAGTGTGCGAATGGAGTTAACTAGTGGGAGCATGAAAGTGAGTAAGTGCGCGGAAGATGCTTTAACTAGTGGGAGATGAAGTTGAGTAGTGTGCAGGTGACAGGGAGCATGAGTTGACTATTCGCAATTTAGTGGGAGCATGAAGTGGTAGTGCTCGGAAGAGTTAACTAGTGGGAGCATGAAGTGAGTAGTGCGGCGGGATTTTAACTAGTGGAGCAATGACAGCTGAGTATGGGTGCGCGGAAGAGTTAATGGGCATGATGGGTAGTGGGGGAGGTTAACATGGAGCAAAGTTGAGTAGCAATGGCTGTTCAAAGCATTAACTGTGGGCTTGATGTTGTGTTAGAAACTGTGTCTTATACCAAGCTCTGAAATACGATTAATTGCGTCAGCAGTGGGGATTGTGCACACCTTCTCGTTTCCATTCTTTGCTCCTCTATTTCTGAATATCGGTAAATTATCCACCAACCATTATTCATGCAAAACAATGCTGGATAAGAGAGGTATGGTATCATTTGCGATGCCGGTGTCAGTACTTTGTCATGGTATGATAATCTATACATTCTATGCAGTAACGGTGTCAGTGTGTCTGAGAGAGGCCTGTTCACAGACACGCGTCTGGGTGGGGTTGTAATAATTATTTCGCATTTTAGTAAAGCTCGTACGTAGGGGAGGCAAGTATCGTTCAGTACGCTTTCTCAGCGATTTTAGTTGGCGACGCATAATTTGGCGCATGGGAAACTTGTTGTTGTACAAAGTGATGGTGATAATGGGTAGGATGTGTGGCGTGCGGTTTCTCTGCATCGCAGGAACAACATGCTTGAACTTTGGGCTCGTGTTTGAGACCGGCGCTAGCTGCGTTCATGGCGTACTGCCCCGGACTGGACAAGCGGACTCAACATGTACCCGATCGAGTGACGTATTGTGCGTGCGTAATCGCTACACTGTGGGACGACAATAACTCTGCATGCCATTAGTGAAGTGCGGCGGTTATGTCGCCTACATTATAGTCGCTGTTCATCAGTGTCTGGATAACTCGCTGCCTCAATCCATTTATTATTATTTTTGTCATCATCATCATCCATCATCATTGTTTCTTCGTCAGTTGCCATCTCTGTTAAACTTATCCTTACCAGTATTACTGCTGTTGCTGTTGTTTGGCAATGCGGTTCACCGCGGTCGTAACACAGCCGCTGTCCTCTCCCTGATTATTCACCGTCTTCCTCCCTTCCAGGTTCTGGTGGTGGCTTCCCGGCCTGCCACCTCTCCCTGATTATTCACCGTCTTCCTCCCTTCCAGGTTCTGGTGGTGGCTTCCCGGCCTGCCACCTCTCCCTGATTATTCACCGTCTTCCTCCCTTCCAGGTTCTGGTGGTGGCTTCCCGGCCTGCCATTCAGCGTGCTCATCTTCATCTACGACGAGTCGCGCCGCTTCCTACTACGACGCAATCCGGGCGGATGGGTCGAGCGGGAAACCTACTACTGAGCTGGGTCCAGCGGCGAGCGGCGCTTCCAAGTGGGGCGGCGTCGGCGATGCAGACGGAGAGAGAATGAGATAGAGACATGGAGAGAGAACGCTGTAACTAATTCCCTAGTAAATGAATTGCGCGTGTGCGTAGCGGGTAGATCGGGTTGCAAGAGTCGGGAGGCGGGTTGCCGCGGCGACGGGAGCGTGCCCGAGACATCGAGCATCGCCATCGGGCATGCTCCCTGGCGGCGGTAGATATGCCTCGCAGGAGAACCCGGTAGACCGGCCGCACACAGGCGTCCACGGAGAAGAGCCATCGCTGGGCAGGGAGCGTTCTCGCTCGCTCACCCGTTAGTGCGTCGGTTTATGTAATACGAAAAATACGACTCTTATTGACTGTACAGTAGGATAGTTTATACACGTGTTAAGGCAGAACGCACGCGCGGCACCTTTCAGACAGGGGAACGGCAGCAAGTGGGTCGCACCGACACAGTTCTCGTCTCTCGCACTGCATTACATTTTGCGTTTCGTAGTTTGGCGGGTCACCAGGGGGCGCCGGTGGCAGCGTCCGCTGCACATGTCCAGCCTCCGTTTGTTATCTTGCCAGCTGGCCACTCGCAAGGGGGGGGGGGAGTGCCGCCGCCTTCTGCACACAGGGGGGAACTGAAGTTTTTTGCAGCAGGGGGAAATATTCAACTCAGGGGCATTCTCAAAGGGGCAGTCACGTGGCGTCTCGCTCTCCGCATGTTCCCCTGTGTGAACGGTCGTTTTCGTCGTCGGTCATCGTACATACCGTGTGTGAATCCGTGTAGAAATGTCAGTGTTGCCAGCACGCGACCGCCCAGTCGGGGAGGGTCAGCAATAACTACGACGCCGTGAGAGTGCGAGGCGCGGCGCCGGGTGACCTAGCACCTGCGATGGTGGGGTGGTGGGTGTTGGCATCCATGCTGTGTACGTAGCAAGGATCCGCATGTAGTTAGTAGTTACTAACTAGCTGTCACTATACGTTACGTTCCTTTTGCGTTTTTTTCTTTTGGCTTCCTCCTTCCTCACTCCATTTTCCTTTCCTACCGCACGTGTTATCAAGGCACCTTTTCAAGGTGGATTTTCCCCTTTTGTCTTCAGTTGTGATTAGCAGGTTGTGATGTTATCGATTCGGCGTGTGACTTGATCGAGAGATTTTATAAGGTTTTCGTGATTTTATAAATTTGGTGCGATTATCGTTGCATTGACTTCTTTCATATTTTAAGTTTTGTTATTTTTTTGTGAGAGACGTTTAACCAAAGCAAAAGCAAATCTGTGAGTATGATTTTTCGGGAAAGCTGGTACCGTCTACCGTGGTGTACGTACTGAGTGGAGTTAAGGGCTGCGGGTTGAAGTGAGAGATATGTTTTGAGCGTGGCATGGTGACGTAACACGACTGTTGTTACAAGGCAGAGTGATTCTTAGCTTTCTCCCAGTCAACTAGTGAATAGCATAACGTGGCGCGAGCTTCGTGAGAGGTGCATGCAATGTTATGAACCCTGTAGTTTGGCGATGTAACGATGAGTTGTAACCGTAGTCTCACTTGGCTGTCTGATTACCTGTCATGACTCATTTCAGCCCTACGTCCCACGCTTCCCTGCTAGAATTTAATACGTATGGGTATATTTTACTCATAAAAAGGCACGTTCACTTCTTAAATATGTATTAACATGGGAATATTGTATTCGTTATCGTATATTTTGTCAGAATTTGGCCGATATGGGTGTATTGTACCCATGTTGGTATGTTACCGTGTTAGAATTTTGTTCGTGTGCATGTCCCTAGCTAGCTCCATCTACTGGTCGTAATTCATATCATTCCGATCCTGTGATGGTAGTCTATTGATACTAGTACTTGCATATTCACCATTGCTTCTATGTTTGCAAGATTCGTTTTACCAGTCAACTATATATGTATACCCGTGGCAGTTATTTTGTGTTTAAATTTGTTTGTTAAAATGCTGAAAGCGTTACACCCCGCGACAAACAGTTGGAAACACTGCATTTCGTGTGTGCCTGTGAAACCAACTAGGCTAGTCACATATAATCAAAGACACCATTTACTGTGATGCTAACTACCGTTTCCGTCTTCCTTTTCGCTTATTCCTGCCATAAGCTGTAATACCAAAGATAATGAATTGCTGTGTGCTGGAGCCAGTATCGCCGGTTATGTTAACGTCCACTATTTAATATAGCAAACAAACTTTAATGTTGTTAAAGATGCGAACTGGAGATAAACCAAAGAGCACTACTGTCTCGTTAAAAGACGGGCAACTGTTGAAAGTGTTTAGACACGATGCTACGGGTGAACTGGCGTAATCAGGGGAGTGTTAAATATATCGTGATATGACAAAGTCTGTGTTTGTACCTGTCTACACGCGTGATATGGTAAAGGTGTGTTTGTTCCTGTGTACACACGTATGATTCGGTAAAGGAGTGTATGCGCTTGTGTATACACGTATGGTACGGTAAAGGTGTGTCTGTACCACTGTATACACACCTGCTAATGGTGTGTTTGTACCTGTGTATACGCGCGTGATACGGTAAATGTGTGTGTGTGTGTGTGTGTGTGTGTGTGTGTGTGTGTGTGTGCGTGCGTGCGTGCGTGCGTG